CTGAACCTGAACTGTATTAGTTAAGCTTGAGCTAAGTTTCCCCAAATACTTAGTGAAACCAGGGTAATACTGTAATTGTTTGCATTTGTTTTTCTTTTGCATATCTATTACTACTAGTACCATTATATATTTCATATACTTAGCAATAAATAATTTTTATAGTCAAACTGGTAGTAACTGGGTATATTTTTCCTTCTCTGCTCCTCCTCCCTCACGTGCTCTGCAGCAACGCTTCTTTTACCTAAGCTAAAGATCCCTGTGAAGCCCCAAAATACTGTGGGGTCTGCTCATCAAGAGGCCAAAGATTGGGACATGCTGAGTTTGAAACACATAAGGGGATCAGCCTGAACAGGCTGATTGACCCAGTTTGACTCAGACGTGCCCTTAAGAACTGAATTCTGTCCCACGAGGGTGTCAGCTGGACACTCAGCCAGATTCAGAGAGATTCTGTTTACCTGTGTGCTTGTGTCTGACTGTAGTTTATTGTTGCTCTGATGAACTGATTCTTGGCATATGAGGGTGTCAGCTTGTCCATGCTGATCAACCCAGTCGGGTCAGGCGTGTCACGTTAATTTGTGTGTGTATGACTGATTTGGGGACTGGAGGAACCCAGCCCCATTGAAACTGAGTCCTGCAAGATAGCTCCATTGGGGGGTGAGGACTTGCAGAAGGGAGATATACAGCTCCGTATAGAAACACAAACAACACAAGCAGCACACTGACAGAATTACCAAGACCCTAGAAACGTATCCCTAATAAATGAGCACACCCCACAGTAATGGGCAAATCTGGTAACACCTCGGATGCCAGTTAATAGAGTTTTCCGGCTAATAAAGTGCCAGTTAACACAGCTTTTGTTGTACCTTTCAATGGTTAAAGTGCAATAATTGTCAAAGATTTTCCCACTATACCTGAATGAGAGGACTTTTTGGAGGGATGTTGGGGAACATTTTAATTTTATCCCCAAAAGGTATGGCAGTTCACACCAGGGGAGGATCTGTCTCTACCCACTTCCTATTAGTTTAATCCTTAGGGTGCTGTACCACTGGAAGATCAAGGACTGTTTTACCAAGATCAAGGATTGATAATCCCATGAATGGGGTATATGAATCAGTAAATACAGAAGGTTTCACCACTCCATTTGCTCAATCCTTCTCAAACTTCTGTATTCATGTACTTGCCAAGTTTACATGCTACCTTCTAAAAAAAGATGTCACTTGCACACTTGTTCATTTACTTGTTTGGCACACTGAATAAGCAAAACTTAAAAGCCCAAGTATCAAAAGCTTTAGACCTTACCAATAAAGAAGTATCAATTTCTGGGAGTATACCAGGGGGTGGCCTGCACAGGAGGAGAGATACTTCAGGGAATGTTCCTCTGAGAGCTGAGATGACTTCCTACAGGCAGAGTTAACTTAATATCAGACAGATCCTACTTGCAAGAGTTCCACAAAGCAAATTTTACTAGTGACAAACAAGACAATAGGGAGCTCAAACCTGCTGGGATAGTCCTTTTAATGACGCTCCATTTACTTTCAGGATGACATCCCCAGTTTCAATCTTCCCACTTTCAGCAGCAGGCTGTCCAGGGAAAAGCTTTTTAACCCTTACTATGCTGGAGCCCAACTGGTCTGGTGTAAGGTTGTCTTCATGGCAAAAACTGAATCCCAGGCCTGAACTGTTCTTCAGCACCTTTACCTCAAACGTATTGTCTGTGAAACAAACAGATATAAGGGATTGCTCCTTTACTTCCTACTGACTATACATTCAGTAACTGCAATCAGAACCAAAGCTGAGGTTGTTTTAGCTCAGCCCCCTGCTCCTGGCAGGATCACCTCAGACTAAACCATCCCAGCCATGTGTCTGTCTACCCTGTTCTTGAAAATATCTAGGATTATTTAAGAATATGCCACAACTTCTCTATATAGCCTGTTTCAATGCTTAATCATCCTCATTGTTTTGAGAATTGTGACAGTATAGAGCAGTGATTTTTAACCTGTGGTCTGTGGAGCCCTGGGGGTCTGCAGACTATGTTTAAGGGGTCCTCAAAAGATGACTTATCAAAAGTATGTGAATACCCACATTTACAATTCAAAGGGGTCCGCACCTCCATTCAAAATTTCCAAAGGGGTCTGTACCTCCATTTGAAATTTTTTAGGGGTCTGCAAATGAAAAAAAGTTAAAAACCACTGCCATAGAGGACACCAGGCTCACTCCAAAATATGATTATTTGGGAAGGCTGAGAAGAAATTCAGGAATGCTGTTACAGTACTATACCCCTACTAAAAGTGAGAGGAAGTAACAGAGCAGGATGACTAGTCGGGAGACTGGCCAATGATCTACTAGAGGAAGCAACAGTCTTACACTGAAGGTGGCAGCATTTGAATAAGACAATGAACAGTAAGAGTAGAAACTATAAAAAATGCTGATGAAATCTGTCACTGAAGTACCCTCAAAAGAATTATTTAAGAACAGAAAAAAAATCTGCATTATTCTGTGATAATTTCTGGGATCTGTTTAATTTTATGGTCACCTGGCTGAGGTAATTCAGAAAATTAGGGGAATGATTTAAAGTTCAGACAGTTTTCCTATGTGGCCTGACCTTCGGTAACAAAGTTGTAGTCTTTGGTATCCGCAGTTTTTGCTGCTGACTTATCCAGGGAGTCACTGTGTCCCGCCTGATTGGGAGGAGTGCATTGGGGTGTAACTGGCGCATGGACTTTGGCCACAGGAAGCTGTCCCTTTTCCAACAACAGCTGTACTACCTGCAGAGACGTAGTACATTTAAGTTAGTTAGCCCTACTCACAAAGATTATGCATTTTGGAATATGGGTTATCTTCTGATTCACTTAGGTAATTAAATTCTACAGCAACAATCTCTGGATTAATAAAAGTAATTATTAATTAATTTTAAACACTGTAAATGTTAAATGTCAAACAACAGAGAAACAGACTGGTATATCACCCAGACAGCCAGCTGCAAAAATAATTTAAGACCTTTTCCAATGAAGTGTGAAACTTAAAAAAATATTACTGACCACATAATTCACAATCTGGTACTGCTACACAGAAGTTTGTATGAAAAGATTTTTTATGACGTGTGTGTTTGTGGCATGTTGGCACTGCAGAGATGCACTACTTGTATATGCACTATTAATTTGTTAGGCTTGGATAGCTAATGTCTGGTTCAACTGCTAAAACAAGAAACAACAGCTTTGTGCTAGGAATACTGCCATTGATTTAAATGCCACTTTTGTTGGAGTAAACGGATACCACTGGATAGGGCCCTACCGAATTCATTGTGAAAGTGGGTGGTGTATTGGCTCCTTTAATCTTGCAGGTTCTCCTGTATGCATCCCCCCTGCCCGTTGGCGGAGGGGACCCTCTGCTCGCTCCTGATTGGCAGGCAGATGAAAACCACTGTTTTAAATATGGCACGGTTTTTGCTGCCCACCTGGTCAGCACCAATCAGCAGAGCTATTGGGGCCCCTCAGCTGATCAACAACGTGGGGGGAGGGGAAGGAAATGCATGGGGGAACCTTCGAGATTAAAGGATCTACTGAGCAGCCTGTGTTATAATAACATCCCTAAGTAAATGTGGGGAGGTTCCTTCCATCAGTGCTGTCTACTGCACTTTTACTGACATTAAATTCAGAAGCTAAAGACAGGAGAAGATTTTTTTACCTGCCCAGTGTTTCTCAGTGTTTCCACAGCTTGTTTATGGGTTGCTCCTTCCAAACTAGTCCCATTAACAGAGAGCACACGGTCACCTAAAGATAAATAATGACTGATTTAAAAGGAAGGGAAGAACACAACAAAAAATCATTTACACACAGCACCCTTTTAATTCACTGCGATATATTACAGCAAGTTGTTTGTTTTTCTTGTTGAATGAAGGCAGCCACTTGCTGTAATGGGCCCCCTACCCCAATAATGAAGAGGTGGAAGCCACAACCAGCTAGATCCAAGGCTCTCAAGGAACCATTAGGAGTGGAGCACCCTTTCAGAAAAATTGCTGCTTGCCCCAGGTGCAGGAAACACAATGAGAACTATGATTGCCAGGCCTGGTGGGGAGGTAGTGGGTCAGCTACAAGCTTCATAAGGGGCAGGACCATGGCACCATGCACAGAAGCAAAGTTATTTTGGTTATGTGTTTATTTGTTATCATGCTTGTTATGGTGTGACACAGACCCAGGCTGGGGAAGGATTGTAGTTTGGAAGAAGTTTTGCTTAGACCTGTGTTTGTGTGTGAAACCGGAGGACCAGAAGCGGTGATGAGGAGAGGCTTGGAGACTGCAGGGAGAGCTTAGAGAGGCACTGCCACTTTGCTGAAGAACTAGACTGAAAACTGAGGGTCAGGAGACTGTGGGTGAGTGCTCAGATTTTAAGGGGACAGAGGATGAGAGGGAGCCCAAAGCCCCAAGGACTGTGAGAGCAGGCCCAGAGTCAGAGAGGGGCAAGAGCAGGGCTGAGGGGCCTAGGAGCCAAGGTCTGGGGAAGTGAACCAGGGCTGAGGGGCACAACCAGAGTAAGGGGGTCAATGCCAGAAGGCTGAAGCCCAGAAAATGATTTAAGGCCTGAAGGGCCAAGTGCTGCACTGAGGGCCAGCACTCCAACTTGAGCAGACCAAGCTGAGCCTGAGGAGAACTGGGGCTGGAAGAATATCCTGAGCTCAATGACCCCTGAGGGCCACCTCCTCACTTTATTTTAACATCAAGGCATGGCAGAAGAGACAGCACCTGGCAGGAGTGGGCACCTGAGAGGTCAGGGTGGGCGAGTAAGGCAGGCACCAGGCAGCCACTGACAGGGTGACATGGCTATCCTCAGGGCCTGACTTGCTAAACTCATGCCAAAGCCCCATGTATTGAAATAAGGATTTTTGTAAGCTTGAATCATGCTTGAATAAGGCTTTTTTCTAACTACAGTGTTATGTAATAATCCTAAATCTAAATTAGTTTTAAGTGATCAGAGCAATGCTTCCCTGAGAAATCTGAAGCATATAGAAAAAAAAGCCTTATTATAATCTGCCTGGCAATGGACTCCCCAGCCCAGCCCCTGGCTTCTTTACTTTTCATTCCATCCCATCCAGGAAGAGCACACGCCAACTGCTGAAACTTCCTTAGCCTGACGAAGGGTTTTTGAACCCGAAAGCTTGCTTAATAACTATTCTCCAACCATTTGGGTTGGTCTAATAAAAGATATCAAATTCACCCAAGGAACCTTGTCTGCCTATGTCCTTAGACCAACACGGCTAAAACCTACACCCCTGTTAGCCTAACACTGGCACTCCTCACTTCACTGGAAAATAAGGACTAGCTTAAGAACAAGAATAATCATAGCAGTCACATGGATTTTCTGTACTGAGTTACTCGGTATGTCAAGCAAGGAGATCACTAGCAACACAAAGCCCTTTTCTCCTTCCTCCGGGCATTATCAGAACAACATGCTCCATTAAAGCACAATGCATTTGAATGAAACATTGACTACAACATGTTTTGTAATTGGTTTTCATCACAGGAGCTTCAGCATTTCCTATCACAGCTGCAACAGCCTCACACTTTGTCTTAGGTTCTTACTGCCTTTTCCACAGCACCAGTTGTCAAGTTTAAGACTTGGTATTTATTAGCTTTTTATGTCTTCAGAGTGCCATTGCGAAGATCAACCAAATAATCCTCCCAACCAGCCATCTGAGGTAGACATACTAAGGTGATGAGTGCTACAGCAGAAATTCAGACAGGTAGCTGTTTCCCTTACTGATAAATGTGGATATGAGCACATGGAGTATGAACAGGAAGTCACCAAGCAGTCAGGAGAATTCTGGGGTACTTTTTCTCTTGCTATATCACAATGTTGCCACAAAGGTCTACAGAAAATTAGATTGATTTAATTTGACTATTATTTGTGGTTAAGCACGCTTGTGGAAAGAACAAAACATGTACCTTTCTGAATTCTGCCATCTGTTTCTGCTGCCCCTTTAGGAATAATAGCCTTCACATAAATGCCACCATGTCTTACGCTGGTATTTACACCACCCTAAATGAAAAACAAACAGGGAACCTATAAACATGTTAATATTTAAACAATTTAGTAAAATCTCTGTTCAAGAAAGGTTAACAATCCTTACACTGAGGAAGCAGTTCAGGCCGTTGGCAAGTAAAAGCAACAGCTAAACTGTTGAAATCACAATTTTGTATAAAGCAACATTTTGAGATCCATGCAAGTATACAAGTGCAAGCAGAGGACAATGGGGTACTACAACTATCAAGCACAAAAATACAAATGCTGCTAGTTAAAACAAACATCCTTCACACAGAATTATGAAGAATGTTTATGCAAGTTATTAGGTGCCAAGATCTGTGTGCACATGTACATCTGCCAAGACTCTGGGCACATGCATCGTCAGCCAGGATGCATACATGCAATGTCCTAAGTTAATCTATCTCAGTAAAGCACTGAGTATGAAGTATTCCTTTCCTCTCAGGTTATGGAAAGCTGTGTGCAAGACAAAATGTATTCAGCTAAGAGGTACCAAAACTGAAGGCTTAAAATTTGCTTAAGCTTCAAATGGAAATTATTTTGAGGAACTCAAACTTCTTATCTGGTGCACATGGACACACCACATACTCTGAAAACATCTCAAAGATCCCCTCATAGGTTTAAAGGATGAGCAGTTAGGTCAGAAATCATTTCAACCTGTGCCCCTAAAGAGACTGATACAACTGTTTATTCTGGAATTACTTCAAACCAATTTAAAGCTTTACAGCAATTTCTAGAGCAGTGCAAGGATAAAGCTGGAGGCAGAAAATGGAAGTAAGAGAAACCTACCACTAGTTAAACCTTCAGGCTAAGTCCTTGTACTGATGACTATTGACAAATTTTATAGAATCAAAGTATGGATAGAGCAGGGTGGCAACAAGTCAGTGGCTAAATTTTCATTTTACCCGTGTATAATTTACACTTCTATTTGCCAGTAACAGTGAAGCAAGCTATCAATAGATATAGTTGTCTAGGGATAGCTGTTCCATTTCTTTAGATTTGGAACATATTTTAATTTATAATTTGTATAGACAGTTTATGAAATCTAACTGACCAGTAATCCAGACCATGGACCCTAAAAGAAATATTTCCTCACTGTTAACACTAAGTTCCCGCCTGCCACTAGAAACCAGCTAGCATTGCCTTCTGCTGCTTAAGATGATTAAGAATAGAACATTGTTTATAGCTACTGTTTGTGAGTGCAGAGCACTCATTATAATTGATTGTTTCAGAAGAACAAAAATTGTTCCAGTGATAGTTAATAAAGGTGCACATAAGATTGTATTTGGGCTTTAAAAAGGGGAGAGTTTGATTCTACTCTCACCTTCATTAAAGGATACATTAAAACTTGCTACACTTGAAAGACAACAGTCCATCTAAAGTGTAGTGTTAACACTAGATCAGGAAAATGTCTATATTTGTAATACATCAAACAGGTATTGAAATCATCTGTTCTGCTCTACAGTTAAATATCTGCTCACCATTATCAGCATTTACACTCTTGTTTGCATTTAAACTGCTTGGAGAATATGGAGATAGATCAGCTAATCTTTTAATGTTAAATTGTCCAGGGACAAAAACTTTCTATGACCTACAGAAACACACACTGAGTACTACAGATATAGTGTATTCATTTCTGCCTTTGAAGTGCCCCTGTCTAGTAGGTTATACCCAAAATTTGAGTTACTTCCAACAGTTATAAAAGTTTGGTATGCCATGTGTAAAATTAAAAGAATATAAGGTCAATCTCCTTATTGTCTTGCCATAAACATAAAAAATACACCGCAAAACAAAACAAAACAAAACAAAACAAAACAAAAAACTTCAGCCAGTCCTCACTTAGATAAAATATTTTATGCTCCTCTGCTTTTTAACCAGCAGAGGAAAACCACAGAATACATGACAGGGACTGTTTGTAGAGCTGTTTTGAAATAATGTTGCTAGTGCACAAGTAAGGCAAAAATAACTTGGGCCAAAATTAGTCCCATATAATTCCACTAGGTTCAGTAGTTTTCCACTAGTTTGGTTGGTCAGGACTGAACTTGGCCTGCTTATTAAGCTCCAACCATTACTTGCCTTTGCATTCAAGGTCCTTCACAGCCTATCTACCGCACCACTCTCTCATGCATCAATGTGAGATCAGCTCTGAGAAGCCCATGAAGCCAGCCCTCCATTGCTTGCTTGCTAATTTTTCATTCAAGCATCTTTGTGCTTTCTCCCATGACAACCACAGCTGCAGAAATTCCCTGTTATCTTCTTTCACTTGAGCTCCTTAAAGCCTTCCTTTTCTGGGACTCCTTCAAAATGTTTGACAAGAGTTAGGCTACTGGTGTGCTAAGACTACTGTTCACCATACTGACCAAACATGTTTCACCTCCTCCTGTACCACTCCCCAGGTGATTGGTTTTGCATTTAGATTGCAAGCAATTTGATCAGGGACTGTTTTCTTTGTGTTGTAAAGTTTTTAGAGTATAATACTGCCCCAGTCCATAAATAGGGCTTGAGACAAGTAATAGCAACACTATTTGCTATATGGAAAATGACAAGAAAAGGGATATGAAAAATGTGCGTCTTCTAGTTTCAGAGAGATGAAATATCTATAAGCAGGTACTTGACAGAGGCCTTTTAAAATACTTTGCTTCCCTGTAATTTAGTAATTTAACAGGTTGCTGGGAGTAGAGAAAAAAGAGAAAACATCTAAAAACCTTGTCAAACAGTACCGTGACACTTATTCCCAAGCCGTTATCTTTTTTGGCTAGTTCGACCTCAAAGATATCTCCAGGTTTAAGAGGAGTTGCAGAAAGCTTTTTAGAATTCATTTTGTTTGCTGTATTCGTTGAGGAAGAATCCTTTACAAAAAGGAAAAAAAAGACAAGAAAATAACAATTCCCTGTTAGCACAGAAAATAATAACAAGGACCTTACTGTGCATTTATGGGGGGGAAAGAGGGGGAGAGAGAGGGAGGGAGAGAGAGAGAGAGCAGAAAGGGGTGCAAATAGGGAAGGACTTCATAACAAAATAGATTCATTGAGCTTGCAGTTTAGCCCTGCTGCCATTACATTTACTGCAAGAGAGCTTAACTCTGTGATGGACTTGACCCATAACAGCACTTTAGAGGTGCTATCAGTCCAATAATCACATCGGCACCAATTTAAAGAAAATTGACTATATCGGAAATCAGCCTGAAGTGGTTGATAATCTGGCTGATACATGCCTGTGCGTGTGCACAGCTGCAGCATGCAGGCATCGAGGAGCACAGCCCAGCAGCATGAAGAGCTGTATGCACCTGGTAAGTCTGTTGTGATGGAAGTGGGGG